TCTGGATGTAGGTGAACTACAACTCCAAAACCAAAGGACACTGCCCACCAAACCCTTTCAGTATTTTCTGTTCATCATGGGAGAACTGTGTGCCAAGTATGGTTCAATTCCATCGTTGGTGGGGTTCAGAATGTTCTTTGATTGTAGGTGAACTGTAAATCCCAGCAACTACAACTCCCAAATGACAAAATCCTTTTTTAGAGTGAAGGACATACATTGGGTTGTTAGGTGTCTTGTGTCCAAATTTGGTGTCAATTTGTCCAGTGGTTTTTGAGTTCTGTTAATCCCACAAACGAATGTTACATTTTTATTTATATAGATTATTATTCTCTAAACATAGAATATAAATGCAGTATATTATTATGGCAAAAAAATCAGCAAGCTCAAATAGTCAAACTCGGCCTGTCCCTGATGTCCCTTTTCCCATTTGCAGGGGAAGAAGCTCTGGGTGATTTCTTTGCCCGCGACACCCGTCACAATGGGTCTCCTCGATGAGAAGTTCCAGAGCTTTCAAGCTGTGCTGGTGGCTTTGGCCAACATGGAAATCCACATGTACCGGGACAAGAACCTTGTGAACGTCATCCAAACGCAGGTGAGACATAGTTCGCAGGAAGGGAGGGAGAAACATTCTTACCTTCCTGCCAAGGACCTCCTCTGACTCTTTTATTTATTCCCTTGCTGACAGGATATTGTGACCAGCATCTGCTTTGGCCGATACGGTCGTGAGGATAACACCCTTGTGATGACAACCAAAGGTAAGAAGAGGCGGCATGTCTAACTAGTCCAACATTTTAAGGCCTTGAAATTTTGACCTTGATGATTGTGCAATAGAATCAGGTGGAATCAGGTGTCAAACAGGGATGTGTTATTGCCCCAACTTAATTCTCCATCTTCATCACTATAATACTTCATTTTGTTGATGGGAAGCTTCCCACCGGAGTGGAAATCATCTATCGGACAGATGGCAAACTGTTTCACCTCAGCAGACTGAAAGCCAAAACCAAGGTTACAACACATCTGTTATAGAACTCCAGTATGCTGATGACAACGTTGTCTGTGCACATTCAGAAGAAGACCTACAAGCCACTCTAAACGATGGGACGACGCGAATGACTTTTTGTATTTTTGTATTATAGATATTGAGATTGTTGATGTTGTTGATGACGATGTTTTGATATTGCTAGGTTGTTGTTAGATTATCTCGTGTAATTTGCACCTTGTTCTCTCCATGTTGTACACCGCTGTGAGTCGCCCCTGGGCTGAGAACAGCGGTCTATAAGCACAGTAAATAAATAAATAAATAAATAAATAAACACCTTTGCAGAAGCCTACGAAAAGCTTGGCCTGTCTTTAAACATCAAGAAAACCAAAGTGCTGTTCCAGCAGTCACCAGCCAACCCCTCCCCAATGCCAGTGATATAGCTTAATGGTGTAACATTAGAAAATGTGGACCATTTCCGCTCCCTTGGCAGCCACCTCTCCATCAAAGTCAACATCGACACCGAAATGCAACACCTCCTGAGCTCTGCGAGTGCAGCATTTTCCCGAATGAAGCAGAAAGTGTTTGAGGACCGGGACATCTGTTGG